TTCTGTCTCTGGCTCTTTCAGACGAGCTAAGCTCAGGCTCTACTTGGAGCAGCTCAAGCAGCTGGTGCCCCTGGGCCCTGACAGCACGCGTCACACCACGCTGAGCCTCTTGAAGCGTGCCAAGATGCACATCAAGGTGAGCAGCCCATGCCCTCCACCCTCTCTGGCTGCCTGGCTACCCCTGCTACCCCTAGCCCATCCCTGTGTGTCCTGGGCAGCCCTTTGACCAGAGGTCCTGGAGGTGGGGGGGCACTGTCCAGCAGGTACACATCAGCGGCTTGGGTTTTTGTTTGTTTGAGGGAAGACAGACAGAAGCTTCTGGGGTAGAGGAAGTCACATGGCTTCTGTTGGGTTTTGTTGTTGGTGATTGGGAGGGAGACAGTGTAGTGGCTGGCTGGGGTAGAGTTGGGCTCGGAGGCCTCTGTGAAGGGGCAGCACCTGGAAGGAGATGTGGGGCCAGGAGGGGCAGGGATTCTTTCATGTCTTCCTAGAGAGGGCTACTTCTAAACCCCTTGGGTGTCAGGAGAAGGTGGGATTTGCTCTCAGGAGACATTACTTGGAGTAGCCCAACAAGGCTTTTAGATTGAGACCTGCTGCTTTGGGGATCTTAGAACGCCTGGGCCAACCATAGCTTATTTCTGTCCCTTTGAAGGGCTTCTGCTTCACAGGCATAGGTACCCCAGGTAGGGCTGGCAGGAGCTTTGAGGGGGCGCAGCAGGGATTTGGCGGGGGGGGGGCCCTCAGAGCAGGCAGTGTCTAGGTCCAAGGAAGGTTGAGAGGTTGGGCACTGATGCTATGGGTGCAGGTGTGGTCTGTGCCAAAGCCTAGGGGCGGGCGGGGCTGTCCTCCAGGAGGAGGCTGGGTGGTGCTGTCACAGCTGGCTGGTGGCTGTTGGCATTCTGGAGTTGGACTGCAGGTGGAGAGCCCAGAGCCAGGCTGGCGTGTGCGTGGCCACCTGGCTGAGGTGAGAAGGGGTGCATCAGGCCATGGGGGCCAGTGGGCTGGGCACCTTGTAGCCCCAGCCTGGTTGGGCCCTGTTGGGGTGAGAATCTGACCTATCCAGACCTCTGTGCCTCTGCACCCACGAGGGGATGCCCCCTCCTGGCCACAGGCTCACAGTGCCCCACCCCTCAGAAACTGGAGGAGCAGGACCGCAGGGCGCTGAGCATCAAGGAGCAGCTGCAGCGGGAGCACCGCTTCCTGAAGCGGCGCCTGGAGCAGCTGTCTGTGCAGAGCATGGAGCGTGTGCGCACGGACAGCACTGGCTCCGCCGTCTCCACAGACGACTCAGAGCAAGGTGGGCCCGGGACAGCCTGACCCAGGCCTCTGGGCACAGGCGTTCTTCAGCTTCTGGTGAAAAGGAGCCTGGGGCGGGGGTGGAGTGGGGTGATGCCCAGTAAGGACAAGGCCCCACACCATCTGCACCCGCTTTTACAGCAGTATTTTCCTGCCTCACCTTGGTGTGCAGGAGGCACAGGAGGAGAGGGTGAAGCCAGAGGCCAGTGCCCTGGCCATTTAAGGGCCAGAGCCTGGCTGGGTTCTTAACAGGAGCTGCAGCCTGGAGTCATCCCTCAGGGCCCAGACAGATCCCCCTCCGCTCCTTCCTCTGCACCCACCCCCAGAGCCTCCCCTTCTGTACAGGGAGAGATGGGCCCTTACTTGGTTCCTCATGCTAGTCTTCTTGGAGTGCCTGACCCAGCCCTCTCTGTTCTCCCCAGAGGTGGACATAGAGGGCATGGAGTTTGGCCCTGGTGAGCTGGACAGTGTTGGCAGCAGCAGTGACGCCGATGACCACTACAGCCTGCAGAGCGGTGGCTGCAGTGACGGTGGCTATGGGCGCCCCTGCCGACGGCCTGGCCGCCCCAGCCTCTCATAGGCCCCGCACACTCTGCTGCTTGGCCCCTGCCGCCCGCCTGCCTGGTCAGCGTGTCAGCCTCAGTTCTCCCTTGACCGATGCAGCCTCTCCCTGGGCCACTGCTGTGCCATTCTGGAAGCTCCAGCTGCTGCCTGGGCTGCCCGCCTCTGCCTGCTGCCTGCTGGTCAGGGCCTGAGCCGCCCGCCCACCCTCCCTTCCCCACTGGTCAGGGCCCCTTGCAGGGAGGCAGGGCCCGGCTCCCATGACCTGGAGCCCAGTGTTGCCACCCACGGTCTGCTCTCAGATTCCTAATCATTCCAGAAGTATTAAATGTCATTGCTGCAAACCTCGGCGGGCACCGTGTAAGGGGCTTAATGACCACTTCAGGGAGCTCAGACCCCAGCACCGGACCCCAGGAGAGAGGAGTGGACTGAGGAAGGAAGGAAGGTGCAACTGTCTGTCTGTCCACTTGTCTGTTGGTCCATACAGGCTCCTGAGGCTTGGACAGAGAAAGCGTGAAGGGCGGGACTGGGTGAGCACCCTGGGTAGGTAGGCGGAGAGGGGCCTTCCCATCCATGGGCGTCAGGAGCCAGGGATGGACTTGTGGTGGCAGGCTGAGCCAGTCCACATCAAGCTGGGCAGTGTCTGCTCTGTCGAGACCTTCCAATGCACACATACACTAGCCCACACGCACACATGCGTGCACTGGAGGAAGGCTGGCCTTTGGGGGCCACCTAGGCAAATGCTGGTCCCTGGCCTGTGCCTGACTTTGTCTCTGTGTGGCCACCGCCAGCTCACCTGTATCAGCCCACCTGTGCCAGCCCAGGTGGCTCTGCCTGCTCTGCATGGGAAGCAGAGCTTCTCCTTGTGCAGGGCTGGGATGAGCTGTGGCGGCAAGCTGAACCAAGTCCTCTGGGCTTTCTCATCTTCCTTTCTTATGAAAAGTCAAACAAAACAAAAACAGCAAGGCCACGGCGTGACAGGAGCTCCCTTCAAGGGGAGCTTAGAAGTTCTGCCCATCGCAGCCTCAGCTGGCAGAGGCTTTCCCCAAAGGCAAAGCAGAGAAACATTTTTAAAAAGAGAAAAAAAGAAGCTCTGAAAACCCTCACCAAGGGACGTGTGTGCCGCCTCTATTTCCTGTACAAGATTTTTGTATTCTATTTTCCTAGCCATTGTTGCGTCCTTGTATGCTGAGGGGTGGGAGTGACCCGTGTCTCAGGGACCCATCCTCTGTCACGTTGTCATTGTGTGCCTTGTGTCCCATCTTGACTTGCCCACCACCAGCAGCATGTTCCCTGTGACTCAAAGGATGCCTCAAGTCTGCCAAGCAGGTGCCTCCTTGCCCCCTCCCCATGGACAGCTCCTCCCAGAGGCCAAGGTTTCCTTGGAGTGAGGTGCCTGTGCTGTGTAGGCAGCATGGCCACTTTTCCTCCCCTGCAAGAGGGCTGTGACCAGGCTCCCAGCGTTACCTTCCTGGTTGGCTGGGGCCCACTATGTTATGAATCTGCAACCTGCCTCAACCTGCCTGCTTCTGGGCCTGGGGTGAGGGCTCCAGGTGCCAGGTTGGCAGCTGATGAAGTGTTTGCTCTGGAGGTGGGGGCCTGGCTAGGGGGCTTCTGCTGGCTTTCGGTCCTGAAGTCCTTGTCCCCCAGGGGATCACACAGCAATACTTGGGTGGTGGCTGTGGGGCTGGCCTATAGCAGCACCTGCCACCACCTCTGGTGCATTTATAACCAGTTTCCAAATCATGAGAGGAAATTCGATTTCTCTTCTATCGTGTCAGTGAACACCCTCAGAGTCCAGGGAAATACCTGTGGCACGGAACCTCCCCTACAGGGGCTCAGGATGGCGCCAGAGAACAGGCCTGTGGGTGGGGATCCTGGGGAGCAGGGATGGGGGCTGTCCAGATGTCTTCCTGGGTGTTCTGACTGTGTCTTCAGCCCACTGGGGCTTCTCCTGTCTGTCAGGCGTATCCACTGAGCTTTCTAGCTCCTCTACCCTCAGAGCAGAGCAGGAATCCATGTTTCAGGGCCTGGTTCGGGATCCAGAACTCCAAAGTCTCCTGATGTTCCCTGAATTCTTAAACTATCAACTCTGCTCCATCTCCAACACCTGGGGTTCTGCTCCCCCCCTCTGCCTAGCAGAATCCAGCTCAGGTGACCAGAGTGGCCCCTTGGCTGGCCTTCTTGGCAGCTCAGCCTGTGCCCAGTCCCATGTGGACTTGGAAGTTGGGCTCATCAGCCACCTAGGGGTGCTCTCCATCTGCTCCTCCCTGCCACCAGCAGGGTGTGAGGGGTGGTCCACAGGGGTGGGGGCTGGTGCTAAGAGTTCCATATCCATTCCTCCCTTCCCTGCTCCCTGCCATTTGCCCAGACTGGATGTTACTGGTGGCCACATGGACCATCAGGACCACTGTAGTGTCTGCAGAAGGAAATTGGGACAACAGCCACAGTCCACATCCTCCATCCTCCATCTTTGCCCACCTACACCCACATCCATGTGGGCCTCATGCTCCGTGGCTGAGAGTCTAGAACCTTTGGCTCAGGCTTGGGTCCCCATCTCCCTAGGAGGCATCCCACTCATACCATGCCCTTCCGTCCTGCTTCAGGCCTAGCTGGCCTGGGAGGAGAGGCTGTTTCTTCAACTCATCCTGGTGGTGATGGCAAGGTCTTTGAGCTTGTGTTCCTGGGTGATGGACCATGCACCAAGCTATGACCTGAGGGCTCCACCCTTTGCTCTCCTGTCTGCCCCACCATCCAGTCTCTCTCTGGGTCAGAGAGACCCTGGGACCTACCCACCCCATACTGCCTGCAAAGAGGGTCAGTAGCCTTGGCCCCATCCAGGGCACTAGGGCAGGTTCCGTGCCAGAGTCTGGGGCCATTTAGGGGGCCTGGTGCTGGTTCAGCTGGAGAGTGAAAGGGGCCCCACCCACCTGTCCTCCAGGTGGGGCTGTGCTGTGTCATTCTGTCATTGTAATATAAATACAGATTTTTATACCTCACCCTCTGGCTTCCAGTTCTTTCCATTGCCCTGTTTTGCTCTCTTCCCCTCAGCCTTCAACTAGGAGGCCTGAGCTTGAGGGCACCTTCGTCATCCAGGCCCTTGGGGATCAGCCCTTGCTGTCCTGTCCTTAGCCTCTGCTGTCTGGGAAGCCTGACGGACCCCACTGTTAGACCTGGAGTTGAATGAAAGGTGGGGTTGACCCCCACCAGCATGTGCTCACCTGTAGGCCAACAGGTGCTTGTGTTGACTTTCAGGCTTTGCCCTAGCCCTGGGACTGGGGCACTGCCAGGAGCCAGGACAGCTCACCCCTTAGGGGTCTCTGTGCCTGCCAGTTGTCTTCTTTGCACAAAAGCTGTGCAGGACTGTGCCTGAGAACCCTACCCTTGTCCTGCCCCCAGTGTCCCCAGAATGACCTAGGCATGTCCTCTGCTGCCTGCTCTCAGGACCTACCATTTGGAGGTGGGGTGTAGACAGCTGTCCTCTGGTGCTGGTGGTAAGCATGGGGAGCCAGGCTCCTGCTGTGCCTTCGAGGGAGCACCTGTAAGGCTGTGAAACCCTGTGCAGTGGGGAGGACCGGCCACAGTGACCCTGACTGCTTACTGCCCTACCGGGAGCCTCTCACCTGTTGGAGGGAGCCCCCCAGGAGACGAGATCCCTGATCCTCTGAAAGCCCAGCTACCCTGAGAGAAGAGTGCACCTGCTCTCCTGCCTTGCAAGGACAGTGGGGGAAAGATGTGCAGCCAGGAGGCCAGACAGGGACCTCCTGAAAGCTTGGGGTCAACACTGGATCTATGGCAGGGCCCACTGGAGATGGGCTAATGAGACCTACTGGCGGATTTTGGGGTGGCCCTGTGAGAGAAGCTGAGGGGTCCTCTGGTGAGTCTGAGTCCTGGCCCCTTCCCCAGCAGGTAGCAGTGAACTCTGGATTCTTGAGTCCTCTTGAGCCTCCCTCCAGGGGGCCCCAGAGGCAGTTAGTGAGGGCACTCCTAGAAAAGAAGGGAATTCCTGCTGGGAACGCAACTGGGGCCTCAAGAACTGGAGGGGTTTGGGTGTTGATGTAAATGTAGACATTTGAATTCCAAATATTATTATGTATTAGAATCTTCACTACCAGTTCCTGCTGGGGGTAAAGAGTGCCAGGACTGTGCGAAGCACTCTATATAATAGCACCTGGTGTCATGCTGAGTATAAGTCACAGGTGGGAAGCAGAGGCTCAGGGAAAGCACCCCTTCTGCAGTTCAACCAGCCAGAGCTTCGCGGCCTGCCCTGCCGCTCCCAGCCCTCCAGATCCCTCCACCACATACATTCGTCTCTATATACCTCCTTCATATCGCTTGGATTATACCAGCACCTGTGAGACACCTGCTTGCATCCCCACCCTCTCCTCTTCTCTTCTTGGCTGTCAGAGTGACCCCAAGCTGGCCCTGCAGCTCACCTTCCTACAGTCCTCCTCTGGGATTCCTCCCCTGGGATTGAACCCACACACCTGCTCTGTCCTGTCTTTCACCTCGACCCAGCCCCTTGTCCTGCCCCTTGCCCTCTCTGTCTCCATGACAGCTCGGGCCAGGTCTGCTCTGTGGAGTGGCCCCTGAGCCCTCTGTGTCTCTTCCCAACACATTTTTTCTGGGACTGTGGTATATAAATTAGGTGTTGGTCTGATCTGGGCTAATTGCTCCTTCCCCCTTTGCCAGTCCCTTTGGCCAGGCAGCACAGGACACACTGGCCTCACAGGGATCTCTCCAGCATGGAAATGGGTTATGTGGCTCACCTGGGGAGCTGCAGTGGCTCTCAGCTCCTTTCCTCGCTGCCTTCAGCCCCCTTAGCCTGCCCCAGTCTCCTCTGATACACCAGCCCTCTTGGCCCCACTCCTGGCTCCAAGGCCCCTCCACCAGCCACTGTGGTGGCCTCCTTCCTGGTGGTGCTGACCAGAACGCAGTCCTGAGTTTTCACCTTCATCACATGAATGCCAACATGATGAAAAACAAACTCATTCTTCCTTCACCCTCCTCCAACCCCCATGGTCTAAACAAGGTCTTTCGCTTTCTTCTTAATAGGAAGAATAAGAAGAAATGTCATATTATGGCAATCTTCCAGACTAAGCTTTATAGGCCTCCAGGGGTCTGCCAGCTCCCTCTGCTCTTCTACAATCCCCTGTTGCCTTGTGCCAGTTCGCCCCTCCATCTTTTGCCACTTCTGTTACTGCAGAATAAAGCTTTTAACGTATGTCTGAGAATGTCACTCCCCAGCTTAAAAAATGCTCCTTCCCCATTGCTTGGAGAACAGAGTCACACCACCTCCACTGAAAACTATAGCTGAAAACAATGGTGAACACGGCATTATTACTTGCAAAGTTTAAAACAATCAAAAAAAAAAAAAAAAACATTGCCCCAAACCTTAGATGGTTTTTAATATTGACAGGAAAAAAGAATAAGTTTCCACTAGGAAAGAGAAAAGGCAAATAAACAAAAACACTAGTCCTCACAGCCCTGCATTTAGGTCTGGTTAGTCCATTATATTCTCCTGGGCTTACTCAGGGAGAATTAATTCCTGGGTCCCCTCTACTTTTGGCACCATTCAAATCCCAACTGATTTTGATTGGAAGAAAGAGAGCTTGCCTTGGAAATATTTGCTTTCTTAAATTTCAAATACAACCCTAGGAAACCTTTCCAGGTCTGTATAGTTAACCCTCTTGTATTTGTTTTTTGTACTCTGAGGGCTGATGCTGTTATAATTTTTACAGTCCCACAAACACCCTTCAAACAAATAACTGTGTCCAGCAACTCAAAATCAGGTGGAGAGTTTTTGGATCCAGGAAATCCCCCAGGAGTCACTCAGGGTTTAGGATTGCATCCCCTTGCTCCTGGCGATCAGTAAGCAGCCCCTGTCTTTCTGCATCTTTAGTCTCTTCTGCATTCCTCTTCACATGCTATAAATATCCCCCAAGTCCCTCCCATTTTAAAACAAAACAAAACCAAAACTCCTCCCCTCACCCTTCTTCCCACCCCCTCATCTTTGTCATTTGCCTGTCCCTCCCTCTCCCTCAGTCTTTGCCTCCTCAGCAAAATTTCTTGTCAGTACCGCCTGCATTTCCTCTGGCCAAACCCACTCAACCAGTTCTCTGCTGCACCCACCTCCAGACAGGCGGCAGGGGTCCTTCTGGAACAGCCCCCTGGTTTCCCTGTTCACAGACTGGGCAGCATTCCATGAATTTACCCCCTGTAATGTATGTTTGTTTTAGATCATTTTAGGCTTTATTAACTTTTAAAAGAGGATTAAAAAGTAAAACAAGTTAAGAATTAACAGCAGGTATCTTGACTCGAGTTGGATTCATCTGTCCAGGAACATATATATATTTTAACTCCTTAAAAACATTAAGAAAAATGATCCAGAATGACTTCTACCTAGACACATTGGACTAGACTATTGTTTAAGAAGCCACCTTAGAATCGTTTGTCGCTGCAATAGTACCGACTATTTTCTAACAACCAAAGCCTACACCTTGCAAATGCAGAAGTTAACTTAGGGAAGAGTTTTGCAAAGTTAACTTTGCAAATGAGTTTCGGTAAAGATGCACACAAATTCTGCCCCATACAAATACATTCTGGCCAATACGAATGATAACCCTGGAAGGTCCCGTGTCACTGTAGGGCATCCACCAGATTTACATCAAATTTAGCAAGCAGTTTATTTCAGCATTCTTTCTTTGACCGCCTGTGTAGTTTCTGGCATCCGCTTCGGAAAGAGCGTTCTGTCCTCGTTGAGCTCCGTGCATCCTTGACACCCAACTCCGTGCTTATGTGGGTTATATTTTGGATGTTCTGATATGGGATTGTGGGGGAAGTCAGCTTTTGATTAGATGTTAGGTGAGGGCTTGGGAGTTTAGTGTTTTTCAAAATTACGTCATCGTAAAGGAGTCTTCAGACAATACTCGCTGGCCCTTCAAACGTGCCAGGCGCGGTTCGGGCTGGACCGGGGCCTGGGTCCTCTGGCGAGCCTCATTTCTGGCGTCCTGCCGGATTACGCCGCAGGGGAGCCACAAGCTGAGTCGGCGGGCCCGTCGGGCCCAGTCTTTCTGTTCCCTAGAAGTGACGTGACAGGGTCGGCATTCGGGGTATGCAGCGTAGAACCGGTAAAATGGACCTGAGGACGGTTCGCCAGGGGGCGCCGCGGGCGGAGGCTAAGGAGTTAAGGGCCCAGCGAGCCTCCCAACGCGGCCCTGGGGCGGAACGGGTGGGGGCGGGCCTTCTGCAGCATAGCCAATCATCTTGCCTTACAGGGGCCGCCGGGTCCGGGGCGAGGCCCTCTCGGCTCCGCCCCAAGCCTCGCTGGCTCCGCCCACTATGGCACCACATCTGCGCAGACTGCTCCGCGCCCTCTTCCCGGCTTCCTCCTCCCGGCGCTCCCGTGAGGCATCGCGAGGCGCGCAGGCCATAGCCTAGTGGGCGCCGGCGGCCGCTGAGGTAAGGCGGGCTCGAGGCTTTGGGGCAGTCGCGACCCCGAGACGCGCCTGCGCCCCCCTGACCCTTGGTTCGCGCGCACGAGTAGCGGTTCCTGGACCTAGGAGCCGGGCTGGGGCTGCGGGGCGCGGTGAGGGATCTGGGGACGGCGGGGCGTGGTGAGGGACCTGGGGGTTAACTTGGGGGCTGACCTGGGGACGGCGGAGCGCGGTGAGCGGACTGGGGACAGTGGGACAGGATGAGGGACCTGGGGACGGACCTGGAACTGACCTGGAGTCAGCGGTGCCGGTGAGGGACTTGGGGACGGTGGGGCGGGGTGAAGGACTTGGGGGGGTGACAGGGCTGGGGCGGGATGAGGATTGGGAGGGTGAGGTGTGGCGGAGGGTCCAGGGCGCGCCGGGCGGAGAGGGTGGCTCCTGTGGAGTTTGTGGAGCTTCTTTTTAAGGCCCGTTGGGTGATTTTTGTTCATGTGTGTTTTATAACCTACACAAGTGTCATAAATGGATTGCACCAAAAGCAAACAGACAAAAAAAGGAGCCCCAGAGATTTGGGGAGCAGAGAGTCAAATGTATTCAGACTTCATGGTCATTAATCCGCAGGTCTTGCCACCTTGCTGACATTCCCTTGGCTAAGTCGTGGTGGATCATTCAGCGATGCGTCTGTTGGAAACAACAAATGTCTGAAGTGTTCTTACTTGACTGCTGGGTACCTTAGTACTTTTCAAGTTGAGAGGGGTTCTAAAACCTGAAGCCTGGTGTTCTCTGAACTAGGTTGATCAGACCTGGAAATTGATTCTTGCCAGCTTGGTGAATGCTTATTCACTCATTGAGGTAAATAGTTGATTCCTCCCCAGAGATTGCCTTTTTTTTCTTTAAATTTTCTTCCATAGAGAGTGCATGGAATAGAGTCTACTTAGCCACATGGTGGCTGGATTTGTTTGTATACACTCATTTTGGATTAAAAAATCACTATATAAAACCATTTTATCTTGGGGGAAAAATAGATTTTATTATTAATTAAGTTTTCATTACTGGTTTCGTTTTCTAAGAAATACCCTAATTGTTTTTGTTTTACTTTATCTTCATCAAACCTTGTAGCTGCTACTACCTTTTGGCTTACTGGCTTCCAGATACCATATGCTGTTTATCTGTATTTTTTAAAAAATCATTTGCCTTATTTGGGGTCTAATATTTATTTTCTTCCCCCCTAGGAAGAATCACAGTAGATTCTAAAAATATTTTCCCCCTTCTGTAAAAATTGGTTTTGTTTCTACTTGGATTTATTTTTTTATAAATAGAGCACCATAAACCCATATCAAATACATAAAACTAGGGTAGTTAAACCATGAGTTCTGGGAATGAGTTTGTGGAGACATTAAAAAAAATTGGTTATCCCAAAGCTGATATTCTTAATGGAGAAGATTTTGACTGGCTATTTGAAAATGCTGAAGATGAATCATTTTTGAAATGGTTTTGTGGGAATGTGAATGAACATAATGTATTGTCTGAAAAAGAATTGGAAGCTTTTAGCATTCTTCAAAAATCAGGCAAACCCATCCTAGAAGGGTCAGCATTGGATGAAGTTCTTAAAACCTGTAAAACTTCTGATTTGAAGACACCTAAACTGGATGACAAAGAGCTAGAGAAATTAGAGGATGAGGTTCAAACTCTTCAGAGATTAAAAAACTTAAAAATGCAGCGACGTAATAAATACCAGTTGATGGCTTCAGTAAGTAGTCACAAATCTCTGAGGTTGAATGCTAAAAAAGAAGAATCCACTAAAAAGCTGAAGCAAAGTCAAAGAATTCTAAGTTCTGTGAATACTAAGCTCAGTAATGAACTTCAGGCCCTTACTGATGGAGTTACTAAATTGATGATGTTCTTTAGACATTCTAATTTAGGTCAAGGAACAAATCCAATGGTGTTTTTATCTCAGTTTTCCTTGGAAAAATATCTAAGCCAAGAAGAGCAAAGCACAGCAGCATTAACCTTGTATACCAAAAAGCAGTTCTTTCAGGGTATACATGAAGTAGTTGAAAGTTCAAATGAAGAAAATTTTCAACTATTAGATATACACACTCCATCTATTTGTGATAATCAAGAAATCCTTGAGGAGAGACGACTAGAGATGGCCAGGCTGCAGCTAGCATATATCTGTGCTCAACATCAGTTGATTAACTTGAAAGCAAGTAATTCGAGCATGAAGTCGAGCATAAAATGGACAGAGGAGAATCTTCATAACCTAACCAGCAAGGTAAACTAACTGGATTCATATCATAATTGTTAGGAATACAGGATTTAATATTACTATTAAAATACTTCAGAAAGGGCATATAAAGAAATCATAATTTTTAATTTTCTCTGTTTAATGCTTATTTGTGATATGTGTCAGTGTTTTGCACAATTAGAGCTCATATTAAAGGAGGGAAGAAATAATCATTATAATCCCAACCACATTACCTAGTTTAAAAAAAATGTTTTGCATTGTGAATCTGAAATTTGTTTAATTCAGATATAGACTGAACTCAAATTCCCTTTTTATGATGGGAAATAAATATCTTAATTAATGTCTTAATTCTGGATATTCTCCTGTTTGCTCTGACCAGAGCATGATGGTAAGGAAATCAGAGCTCCAGGTTCTATGGACTGAATTCCTGCTTCCTTGTTGAGAATGTATAGATATATTGTAGCTTTCTATATGTAGTTTTGAGAAGCTTGTTTAGTAATGTAACCACTAGATTGTTGGGTAAAAATGTAACTTTTCTGAATCTGAATACTAACACGGTGAGTTACTATAACTGACAAACTTTGGCATAATAAAGAAATTATTGAGTTCTGTGCTAAAATTAGCTGAGAATACCTACTTGCATTCAGTGAGTAGTGTGGTAATTATGTTTTTGATTAAGTAAAACAAGCACGATGAGATCTTATCTTATTTTGGTAGTCATGAGTGAGAGTGTGTGTGTGTGTGTATACACACGCGCGCATGTGTATGTGTATATATAATAGCATTAAAGTTTAGTAATTCATGTTGGCCTTACTCAGTCCATGTTTTTCCTTTTTAAGCTGTAATTTTGGCTTATACTAATAGGAAATTAGTTTCTATTCATTGAGCTTATTATCACCTCAAATAGAAAGTGAAAATAATCTTTAAAAACTATTTTGTTTAAACCTACAGTTTTAAATGTAATTGCTTTTTTTTTTTTTTTTTTGGTGTGTGTGTGTGTGTGTAGGCTATTGGCAAAGAAAATTTGGATGCTAAAATTTCTAGCTTGAACAGTGAGATTCTGAAACTTGAAGAACAAATCACTCATATAAAAGATAAAACTTTGCCTGCTGTGGTAAAAGAGAATGCCCAGTTATTGAATATGCCAGTTGTAAAGGGAGATTTTGATCTGCAGATTGCTAAACAAGATTATTACACAGCAAGACAAGAGTTAGTTTTAAACCAGTTGATAAAACAAAAGGCATCATTTGAACTTGTACAGTTATCATATGAACTTGAATTAAGGAAACATTGGGACACGTATCGTCAACTTGAAAACCTGGTTCAAGAACTTAGTCAAAGTAACATGATGCTCTACCAGCGATTAGAAATGTTAACAGATCCATCAGTCTTTCAGCAGATAAATCCAAGGAATACCATTGATACCAAGGATTATTCTACTCATAGGTATGTGCATTTGGTTTCTTCCTAAGTAATTTTTTTGTTGTTTTTGGGAAAGTCTTGAGAGAGTTTGAACTAAAGTTATAGAAGTTTAAAAAATTGTTTATACTTTATTTTTGACCTTTGTTCTCTTCTTTTTTTTACAGGCTTCTTTTCCCTGTTTTATTTATTTTTTTCTCCCTTTCCATTCATGTTAGATCTGAATGCAACTAAAAAGTTGAATTGGATGAATTGGAGGAATGAATAAGATACAAGTTTTGACTCCTGTTTAGGCACCATTATAGATACCTCATTTTGGATTTGGGGCAGGAAGTTCAAATATAGCTTGGAATCATAGGTATTGCTAGGCAGGGGACTGACAGCATTTGGAAAAGGTGGCAGTAGAGTTGGGGAAAAGATTTTATTTCTGTGTCTGGTCAGGTGGATCATTGAGAATTTTCTGTATATTTAAGCAGTTGATAGTACTGGGATACTGAAATTGGAGGATTCAGTAGTATTTCAAAACTCTGGATGATTCTACTCTTGAATTTTTTCCAGGACTAAAGTAAAATCATCTAATCTTTTTTTTCTCTTTTAATGCAAGGCCCTGGATTGAACCCAGGGCCTTGCTCATGCTAGGTCAAGTGCTGCCACTGAGCTATATCCCTACCTGTTTTCTTGTTAATAAAATTAAGGGACATGAGGGCTGGATTGTGGCTCAGTGGTAGAGAGCTTTCCTAGCATGTGTGGGGCACTGGATTCGATTCTCAGCACCACATATAAATAAATAAAATAAAGGTCCATTGACAACAACAACCAAAAAAAGAATATGAATAGAACTTAGCACTACTTTATTGTACAATTTTGGGGAGTCATCGATGTCATGATCTACGTGAATAATGCCTCTTAAAATTGTTATATCCCACAGGATCATAATTGGCAGCCTTGGACTTCAGCCAGTTTTTAAAAGTCCAATACAACTTAAAAACACACACAATTTATTTATTTATTTTTAAAAATGAAACTGGACCCTAACATCAAATTTATTTATTTATTTATTTTGGTGGTGCTGAGGATTGAACCCAGGGCCTTCTGCATGCAAGGCAAGCACTCTACCAACTGAGTTATATCCTCAGCCCCAACATGCATTTATTTTTAAGAGAAAGAGCAGATCCTTCTTGTCAGATATGTGTGGAAGGTATTGCCTCAGATTTTTTTATTTGCTCTATAGAATGATGGATTTTTCTGCTATCAATGTTGTAAGTGTTAAAGTGGTCTCAGTGCTCATCAGATTTTAATTTATCAACCAAATACAAATTGAAGTAGTAAGCTTATTGTTTGTAGTCCTTTATTTTTTGCATTTTAACATTATTTACATTTTTAGTTTTTTTCTCTTAATCCCATTGCAATCCTGAAAAATAGGTATTGAGATACAGAAGTTAAATCTCAGAGATTGATTTGCTCTGAGTCTCATATAATAAAGAACTCAGACCTAGGTCTTCTGTTTCAAAATTCACTGCTGATGCTACTGCATCAGATGTTTTCTGTGAAAGAAATGTATCACTAAAGCATAGTTTGTTTGAAGTGGGTTAATAGTATTTAAAGTTCAGACAAATTTTATCTTTAAAACTTGGAAGATGGAAAAACAGACTTCAGATGCAATAGTTAGAATATAAGCTTCTGTACTGGAATGGTATAAGAGTTGAATGATTTTAGTTGCTTGATTTTTAGCTCACAAGTTAATATTATTTAGTTTTTACTCAGCTATTCTGCAAATGTCCTAATGTAATGAATTATAATTTTGAGAACTATGCTAACTTAAGAATCTTCTCCTGTAATTTTCATTTTTACATTTTAGGCTTTATCAACTTTTAGAGGGAGAAAATAAAAAAAGAGAATTGTTTATAACCCATGGAAACCTGGAGGAAGCAGCTGAGAAATTGAAACAGGATGTTTCTCTAGTACAAGATCAGTTGGCAATAACTGCTCAAGAACATTTTTTATTTCTGTCCAAACTGAATAATAATGTTGACGTGCTTTGTGATGTTTTGTATCAAGGAGGAAATCAGCTTTTACTTAGTGATCAGGTGGGTATTTGCCTTAATGTGTTGGTAATACACACCTGTAAACCCAGATACTTGGGAGGCTGAGGCAGGAGGATGGCCAATTCAGGGGCAGCCTAGGTAACTTAGTAAGATGCTGTCTCAGTAAAAATATAAGGCTGGAAATGAAGCTCAGTGGTAGAGCACACCAGGGGGAAAGCATTATAAGAGATAGTAAATAAAATATTATAAGGATATATCACCCCTATCCCATTGCCCTAATATAAAATTCATTTTTTTATCTCTCTGGATTTTTATTCATGTAGCTTTTTTGTATGTGTGTGGGTTGGGGGCGGGTAACTGGGAATTGAAGCCAGGGGCATTTTACCACTGATTTTCATCTCCAGTCCTGTTTTTATTCACTGAGTTGCTGAAGCTGGCCTCAAACTTGTGATCTTCTTGTCTCAGCCTCCTGTGCCACTGGGATTACAGGCATATACCACCACACCTGGCTCAAATAGTTTTAATTACTATGCACAGAATATAAAAATTTATAGATTTTTTTCAGACACTACAAATGTTAAATGTTAGAAAAAAATTAAAATCAAGATCTATATTTTTAAATTTACATTAGCAAATCGAGGATTGCCCACTATCTTTTAAGTCCTCTGTGTACACTTACAGATATATGTTCTTCTGATTGAATTGCCCTCTCTTTTTTGAGGAGTAACTACTGCACTTAATATTTTTTTTTTTATGATTCCCATGCTTCTGTTTATAGTTTTATTACATGTATATTTTCCTAGACTGTATATTCAGATTTATATGTTTTGGGACTTTATATGCCTGGTACATATGTATTTAACAACTTGGCGTTGTTTCTTTTTTTTAGAAAGAGAGAGAGAGAATTTTAATATTTATTTTTTAGTTTTCGGCAGACACATCTTTGTTTGTATGTGGTGCTGAGGATCGAACCCGGGCCGCACGCATGCCAGGCGAGCGCTCTACCGCTTGAGCCACATCCCCAGCCCCTTGGCCTTTCTTAACATTGTTTTTGAGATTCATCTATATAAATATATATAAAGCTATTTTCCTTTTTATCTAATTAATATTATTTTATATGAAATTCCACAGTTATCTGTTATGTTGATATTTAGCTTATTTCCAGTTTCTGCTACTTTAAATTACACTGCTGTGAATAGTCCTAAACTGCATGTTTCATAGTTGTACTTTTAAAAGAGCCTCTGGTATACACATGCATACACACTAATATAAGTGGAATTACTGGATTACAGGATATGCACATGTTCAGTTTAATAAGTACAAAGTTGAGTGTTCCTTATCTGAAATTCTTGAGTCCAGACATATTTCAGATTTCAGGTTTTTTTTTTTTTTTTAAACTCATTTTTATTTTTTTTTTAAATATTTATTTTTTAGTTGGACACAATACCCTTATTTCACTTATTTATTTTTATGTGGTGCTGAGGATTGAACCCCAGGGTCCCATATGTGCAAGGTGAGCGCTCTACCGCTGAACTACAACCCCAGCCCGATTTCAGAGTTTTTTGGATGTTGGAATATTTACATATAATTTACTAGTTGAGCATCTCTATTCTGAAAATCTAAACAAAAACTTTTTGAGCCCTGACATGGCACTTAAAATGTTTCACTTTTGGGATTTTTTAGATTAGGAGTGTTTATCCTGTAAATCAAATTGTTTTCTAAAGTGGTTATATCATATCGCACCAGCAGTATCTCAAGAGGTACTATTTACTTGTATTCTTTTCATCACATAGTGTTGACTTAAAAATTTCTGCCAGTCCCATGGGGAAAAACAATGTTCATTTTGGGTTGTAATTTGTATTTATCCAATTATTAGCCTCCCTTCACTTCTTTAGTGATCATTCACCTTTTTTGACAATTGCTTATTCATGTCTTTTGCCCATTTTTTAAGTCCTTAAATCATTTGTAGGCGTTCTTTGTATGTTTCAGTGTCTTTGTTAATCATGTGTGAAATATATTTGTGACTTGTCTTTTTCACTCTTCTTCTGTTTTTTCCTCTTTGAGGCTTTTTTTTTGTACTGGGGATTGAACCCAGGGATGCCACAGAGCTACATCCCCAGACCCTTTTATTTATATTTTTTTTTGAGACAAGGTTTTGCTAAGTTGTTGAGGCTGGTCTCAAACTTGTGATTCTCCTGCCTTAGCCTCCTGAGTTGCTGGGATTAAGGATTTTAATTTTTATCTCATTATTCTTTTTGGTGTGCCTTTTCTAATATCTTTGTTCTCTCTCTCTCTCTCTCTCTCTCTTTTGTCAAAGAACCTTTATTTTATTTATTTATATGTGATGCTGAGAATTGAACCCAGTGCCTTAACATGCTAAGCACGTGCTCTAGCGCAGAGCCACAACCCCAGCCCTGTTCTGTGTGTTTTGTTAAAGTTTGTTCTTAATATTATAATTGTAGTCCCTTTAAGTTTGTTTTTATATACCAATGAGGTAGAATTCTCATTTTGTTTTTATTTACTTTTTTCTCCTATGAATAACCAAATTGTTCCATCATCTTACATTAAGACATTTTATTTATTTAAATGCCATATCAGTTTCAAGGATGAAATTTTTATTTATTTTTTTTTTTAGTTGTGGATAGACTTTTATTTTATTTATTTGTATGTGGTGCTGAGAATCGAACCCAGTGCCTCATACATTCCAGGCAAGTGTGCTCCACTGAGCCATAGCCCCAGCCCGAAATTTTTATTATTAATGAAACTGAATATTTTTATTATCTCCCAGTGAATAGAGCCTTTTATTATGAAATACTCCTTAAATGCTTTTGCCTTCATGTCTATTTTGTTTGATACTGTATGCACTAACAGTTCTGAACTGAAAATTTATAGCAAACCTAGAGTCATTGGAGGAGCTAGGTGATTCCTGTTGAACTATAATTCTAAGCAAGAGTTTTACTTCTGGGCCAATCTAATCTTTAGGTGTCCTTTGGGTCCTCAGCTTATTATAGAGAGTCTTCTGTTTGACTCTCTACCTTCTGGGGACCGTGGACTTTTTATTGCTTTTAGGAAGCTTTTGTTTAGTTTGATTTAAAAAAAAATTCATTCATTTTTTTAAATATTTATTCTTAAGCTTTAGGTGGACACAATATCTTTATTTTACATTTATATGGAGGTGAGGATTGAACCCGGTGCCTTGTGCATGCTAGGCGAGCACTCTACCACTGAGTCACAACCCCAGCCCCTCATTCATCTTTTTTTTAAAATATTTTTTTAGTTCTAGTTGGACACAATACCTTTATGTTATTTATTTATTTTTATGTGGTGCTGAGGATTGAACCCAGCACCTTGTATGTGCTAGACAAGCGCTCTACTACTGAGCCACAACCCCAGCCCCTCATTGATCTTTTTATTTTATTTTTTTGGCTATTCTGGGGATCAAACACAGGACCTTGTTAATGCTAGGTAAGCTCTCTGCCACCAAGGAATACCCCCAGCCCTGAGCTTTTTATATTGTTTCCTGTGAGAGGATTGATCTGAAAAGCTAGCCTACCTTTCCTTTGAAACAGAAAGGCCTATGATTAGGGTTTTTGAGGGTTTTTTTTTTTTTAATTTATTTTTAAATAATTAATTAATTGATTTTTTACATTTGAATAAGATGGGATATAATTTCTCATTTTTCTGAGTGTACAGGTTGAAGAATTACATTGGTCATGCAGTCACATATATACCCACAGCAATAATAATTTTTTTTAATTGTGATAAAACATATAAAACAAAAAATTTGCAGTTTTTTAAAAAATGTTTTTAGTTGTAGATAAACACAATACCTTTATTTTATTTACTTATTTTTATGCGGTGCTAAGGATCGAACCCAGGGCCTCACACATGCTAGTCAAGTGCTCTACTGCTGAGCTACAACCTCAGCCCAAATTTGCAGTTTTAACCATATTTAAGTGAACAGTTCAGTGGCATTAAGTACATTCACATGGTTATGCAGTCATGAGTACTGTATATTTCTAGAAATTTTTCATCATCCCTCTCAGAAACTACAAATTGGTCAGTAGCTCCCCATTTCTTCTCTGCTCAACTCCTAACAATCACTATTCTACTTTTTGTCTCCAGGAGTTTGCCTATTCTAGATTCCTCATATAAGTGAAATCATATATTTATCTTTTTGTGATTGACTTATTTCATTAACATAATGTTTTCAAGGTTCATCCATGTTGTAGCATGTGTTAGAATTTCCTTTTTAAGACTGAATAATTCATTGTGTGTGTGTGTGCACATACATTGCTTTATTTATTCATCTGTTCATGGCATTTGTGTTACCACCTTTTTCAATGTTGTGAAAAATGTGGCCTTACATGTTGGTGTACTGGTATCTGTTTTGAGTTCCTGTTTTCATTTCTTTGGGATATATACCTAGGAGTATATACTGCTGGATTATGGTAATTCTAATATTTAATTTTTTGAGGAATTGCCTGTTTGCCACAGCAACTGTACTATTGTCCATGTACATGTAATGCATAAAGTTTCTTAATTTCTCCATATTTTCTGCCTTCATGTCTGTTGTTTGATACTATATGCACTAACAGTTCTGAACTGTTTTTTTTTTTTTTTTTAATAGCAGCTACTGTAATGGGTGTGAAGTGCTGTCTGATTGGTTTTTTAAGACTATTTCCCATTACTGATTTTGTCTTGTTGCTCTGTTAGAGAAATGTGTAAAAATTGCCATTATTATGATAGATTTGACATTTTCTCTTGGTAGGTACATCAATTTTTATTTATTTTGAGTCAATTTTTACAAGTTATGTCCAAGGTTTTAAATTTTGGTGAATAGTTACCCTAGTGGATTTAAGTTTTGGTAAATCAAAGCATTACATAATAACATTCTGTTCTAGTTCTTTTTTCTGATACTAATATTCTGTGCCATCCTTCTTTGAAAGTTTGTGGTTCTCTTTTATAGATTTTATTATTCTCTTTTTCTTAGCATTTTGAAATAAACATTTTCACTTTCTAAATATCAGTTTCTAATATTACAATACTTTATTTTAATTACTGTGCCACAATTTCAGAAACCATTCCCCATTTTGGATATTTTTGGATATTTTGATAGTTGTTTTTTTGTTGTTGTTTTTTGTTTTGGGTTTGTTCTTCATCAGCATCATCTACATATCTACATCCTTTGTGTATTTAGCTTTTTGTTGTTGGATATTTTTCACTTGGGTTAATTCTTGGAAGTGTGGTCATTGGAGTTTTTGAGATATACACATTTTCTTTTTTTTTTTTTTTTCTTTGATGATGCTACCATATTTCTTTTCTTGGGGAATAGCACTTATTTCTAATGTCAGCAGTATCCCTATTTAGTATCCCTAGGCACCATTGCCCAATGGTATACTATCATTTTATGAATTGCTAAGAAAAAAACTTCCAGTTAAACTGACATGATGCTTTGTTTTTGAAAAATTTCATTTTTTCATATTTACTAGCATCTTTTAGGTGTTGTGGACATAGCTTTACTTATTTTTGTATTATTTCACTGTTAAATATGCATTAAAAGGAAAAAATAAGCCAATTAAAATGATTATAGAGTACTTCTAAAACTTCACATTCAACTTCTTCTAAATTGTTTTTAATTCAAAGTGGCATGTATTTTTTTCACACTATATATCAAGAATGTTGGTGTGAAAGCATTCTTGAAAGGATTTGTCCAGAAACAATCATATGATGTTCTTGATTATAAGAAGTGTCTTGATTTTAGATGTGTTAAGATACAAAAAAATGCATCCTAGAATCCCTAAAATTGGATAGTTTTATTATAATTTATCATGATGTATTATTAATGTTTTTCCCTAGCTCAATATGATATAAAATGTCATATAACAGTTTTTTCAGTTAGAGTTTTATTGTTAAAATGAAGCTGAACATTTTTTCATATCTGTAGGAGTATTTTATCAACTGTAAGATCTTTAGTATTTAATTAAAGGTGAGATTGTTTCTCAGTATACTACATTAATCACATTTTTCCTCAGAGGCGACTACTAGATGTAGAACAAACATGGCAAAATTTTTAGGAAATGTAGTACTGCTCGGGCTGGGGCTGGGGCTGGGGCTCAGTGGTAGCACACTTGCCTGGCATGTGTGAGGCACTGGGTTTGATTCTCAGCACCACATATAAATAAAGAAAATAAAGGTCTATCAACAACTAAAAAAAAAAAAAAAAAAAGTAGTACTGCTCTGTAAAACTTGTACTTTGGAATCATCATGGAACCTAACAAAATGTGTACTCCTGGCCCTATTGCAGAGATCGAGTAATATTCTGAAGTGAGGTATAGGAATTCATATATTCATAATAAGCACCCTGGTGATTTTGATGCTTGTGGACCATGCTGAGAAACTGTGGAATGTTGAGGTAGTTGGAAAACCTCTGGTGATACTGGCTAAAATTTATAAGAATAGAATGTTTCGTTAGAAAGCTATGAAAATTTGTTAGTAGAATGTTTGAAGTGCTAAGACATGAAGAAATTGAATTTATTAAATAGTGAGAAGAGTCCGTCCGTATTAATCTTCTTGAGCAGGAAAAATAAGTCAGGATGGTTTTTGTTGAATGTTGTATGCAATTTTGTCCTGTAAGACAATGAAAGAAAAATGGAGATGTTTATTAATTCTTTTTTATTGGTCTTCATTTCAAGTCTTTCTCTGTACCTGTGTGTAGAGTAACCAGAGATTAGGATAAAATAGAGTTTGATTGATTAAGCAGAATTTAAACTCGGTGAGAAAGATTTTGTTTATTCTTGTATCCATAGTCTCTGAAACAGTGCTTTTCACATGGCAGGTATTCATTAATATCTTTGAATATAGGAATACACAGAACAGTTTATATATCAAGTTTACACATAAAAGAGTTTGCTTTGAATCACTTAAAATTATCAGTAGTTGTAATTAATTTTATGTGGAATCCATAAACCTAGTATAGATTTTTAATCATGGCTTATATTGCTGAAATTATGGGAAGTTATTTTAAAAAGTTATCATTTTGTCTTATAAATTATAATTTGTGTTAGGAGTAAAGTTGCTGAATTAATAGCATTTTTATTTTCCTTTTTTAGGAATTAACAGAACAGTTTCATCAAGTTGAATCCCAACTGAATAAGCTAAATCATCTCCTTACTGATATTCTTGCTGATGTGAAGACAAAAAGAAAAATTTTGGCAACTAATAAATTGCATCAAATGGAAAGAGAATTATATGTATATTTTTTAAAAGATGGAGACTACCTGAAAGATGTTGTGGAGAATCTAGAAAACCAATCAAAGATTAAGGATGTTAGTTTTAAAAATTGAAAATTACTAAAAACTGAATCTTTACATCTGTTTTAATGTTTTTTGTAATAGGAGACTATATCTAATAAACATGATGATGTTTTGAAATTTGAGATCAATGGACTATTTCATTTAATGGATCCAAGTGTTATAGAGGTTGAACATCCCTAATTGGAAAATTCAAAATCTGATTTCAGTGTGCAGGCATGACACTATAAGTGGAAAATTTCCCATTTGACCTCATGTTACACAACACAAGTGCACTAATTGTGTGAAATTATATGCATATAAACTATATATGAAAAAAGCAAATTTCATGTTTAGACTTGATTTCCTTCCCTAAGATATCTCATCATACATATGCAAATATTCTAAAATCTGAAGTACTCTTGGTCCCAGGCAGTTCAGATAAGAGTTATTTAACCTTATTAATTTTTTTTTTTATAATTGTTCGAAGTACCAGTACTTTATTTGCTAGATGACACTTAATACTGGTAAATGTTTACTTATAGTAATGCAAATATTTTTTAATAGTTTTTCTTTTACTATTTTTTTTAAATAGAAGGTGTTAAGTATTTTTAAAAATATATAGAACTTTGAACTGACATTTTTAAATCTATAGACCTTAACACACCAATGCTTCCTTTTTGAGTTTTGCTTTCCAAGGTTTTATTTACTGGAGATCAACTGTGATAAAAAGACATTAAATGGAAATAGTAAGTTGTTAAAATATTTTTATTTGCTCTTTTTAGATATACATGTTAGTAGAGTATTTTTTAACATACATATGTGGAGTATAACTTATTAGGTTCCCATTCCTGTAGTTGTACGTGATGAGTTTCACTGCTCATGTGAAATATGAACATAGGAAAGTTCTGTCTGATTCATTCTACTGACTTACCTATTCCCATCCCCCCACCCTTCCCTTCCTTCCCCATTGTCTACTCCAAAGTACTATTTCCACCAACGCCCATTATGTGTCAGCATCCACATATCAAAACATTTTGAGATTGATTTAGGAAATAGTTTTAAGTTGCTTCCCAGTCTGTAGTGTGATGGAATCTCAAACCATCCCACTTTGTTCTTGAATCATTCCTTTTCTCAGCATATCTGTGTTGTATATGCTACCTGCCTGTTAGTAAGTTGATAACCTTGTCATATCAGATGTATAGAGTTAATACTGTTTCATTAATGCACTGGGGTTTGGAATATATCACCCATGAGTAAGAAAGGACTACTATAAATGAAATAGCTAAATCCCCTTATAGTTGACTGAAGTAAAATTCTGCCACTTAAACTCTATTTTCTCCTAATTCCTATTGTAGACTGAGATTGAACATTCCTACTTATACCAAGAGTGTCAGGACCCCACTGACCATTTTCACTTCAGGCAGTGTGTTCTGGGGGGCCAACATTTCTGCAAGACAAGATCTCAATAATGCTTTGACTTTAGTATGACTTACTAATATGTCATAAATAGCTTTCAAATGAAATTTAAAATTAAAATTTCAGAATTATATAAAAGTGTTTGCTAAAAGGGTTTAGGATGAACATTTGAATTTCTTAGGAGTGAAAATACTTCAGTGATGGAATATATTTAATATGGGATATTAGTGTAGTATTTGGACAATTAGAAATTATTTTAAAATTAGTATAAAATAATTTTGAGTAGTTTATCCCTTGAGAGCCCAGTTTATACATTGTCTTTGTTAAATATGTTATGAACTTTGTATGGATTACCTTTAAGAATATTCTAAACCTACCTACTTGTTATATGGAATGACAATTAAAAATTATTCATATCAGGTGGGTTTTTAAAAAAATTTTCAGGAGGTAGTTTTTAATAAATTTTTTTAGCTTTATCAGGAAATAATTATGCTTCAGAGCCAGTAAGCCCCGTTAATTTTTGTAATCCATTGAACAAAAAGGTTTATATTAAATATTGTATCTGTTATATTAAAAATTATTTTTGTTAAGTAAACTAATTCACTTGAAAATTTTTTGGCAATGAATTTTGTGTATATTTAGCTATCAGCTTCTCACTTAGGTGATTTCTTTGCTATTTATTTTTTACTATTCTGTTTTTCCTATACTGTTAAACAGTACTGTTTAAATTAGTGCCAGATAATTTAGATGTGTGACCAGATGCTTGATCTGTATTGTTCCTACTTAAACTTTTACCTGTTTTCAGCTTTGTATAGTTGAAGGTGAGTAATAGGCATGTTTGAGTAGGTTTTTTGCTTCATAATTGGTTAACTTCATAATTAGCTCTTTTTCTGCTTTCTGTTATCCCCTAATTAAACCTCTGGTTATTGTTTTCTTTTTACTATGTGAATTATGAAACCTGTATTCTGTGGTTATTGATGTACTTTTAAAATGAAAGTCTCAGTTTATACATTTTTCAAGTAACTGGTCTTTATTATTATGAAGTCTCAGAATTAACATGTCGATATTTATCTTGTTAACCTTACATTTAGGTCTTTTTGAAAATGGAAAATTGTGAGACCTGTGTAGGCTTTGATCTCTCTAAGATACCACTCTCCTCTATTGCTCAGAAGATTATGTGTGCTCTGCATTCAGGTGATTTAGTGGATTCTAAGAACTGGGGAGAGAGTACAAAGAGTGAGTAATTTTTTTATGAGCCTTTCTATCTTTATTATGTTGAATGCTAATTATTCTCAAGAGTAGAAGAACTGAAAGTGGTGGAATGAATGTAGCAAAATTATCCCCTGGAACTTTATATTTTGTAGGGAAGTTCTGTGCCTACAAAAAAATTCACCCTTTTTATTTCCATTCAATGTTGAAATTCTGCTTGCTGAATTTTACAGTCCCTTAACCCTTGTTTAAATGTTTAACACTGTATTCCTTGTTCCAGGGATTTCTGTCAAAAAAGTTCCTTCAGTCTGGATTAGGTATTTAAGTGCCTTCAAAAAAGATTGGCTTTGGGCTGGGGTTGTGGCTCAGTGGCAGAGCGCTCACCTAACATGCATGGGGCACTGGGTTCCATCCTTAGCACCACATAAAAATAAAAAATTAAGATATTGTGCCCACCTAAAACTAAAAAATAAATATATAAAAATTAAAAGAGAGAGACTGACTTTTTCTGGTGATGTAGCTTAGTGTTTGAGCACTAGCCTAGTGGGCGCAAAGCCCTTCCTTGACTCAATCCCCAGTACTGGGGGTGGGTGGTGGGGTGGGTGGGTGGTGGGGTGGGTGGGTGGAGCTGGGCTCTTTCTCAGTGCTTCTTGGTTGGCTGTCAGGTCACTGAACCTGTACAGTTTTTGCTATTGTGGGTGGTACATAAGAGCAGTGTATTTTACTTCCATGAAAATGTATTAACTCTAGGTGACAAAGACCAGTGGGTTTATATATATGTTTGTGATGTGTACTATAATCATAAAAGCAGTGACGTATGCTCACAAGTATGGCTAAACTGTTTGTGACATCAGAGTTCATTTGCAAAGCAGACTTCATTCTAACTTTGCAGGTCTGGGCTAATGATTTGTAGTTTCTTTCTTTTCCTATTGTGTATTGTAAGTGAGATATTATTAAGTTATTAGATTGAAATAAAATAATTGAGAGGATTTCCAAATATCAGCACAAGTGCTGTTATAAACAATTTCTTGAAGATTCATTAGCACTTAACATTTCGATCTGTTCACATTCCAACATCTGTTGCTTGTGTGCCTTACAATAGAAATCACTAATAAATAAACAAGTGAGAATGTTTGACCAATGTATCCAAATAAAAGGGATATTAAAGATAATTATTTAAACTGTGAATACTGTTTTATCTTATTCCCCTTTACTTCCCCTAAAATACTATTATTTTCCAGGTACATAGTCCATACCCAGAAATTCTTATAAGCTTATTTATTTTTCCACATATTTTAAAAAATAATAGGTTATCGGATACAGTAGTGTATGTATGTGATTCCAGCTACTCTGGAGGCTGAGGCAAGAAAATTGCAGGTTCCAGACAAGCCTGGGCAACTTAGACCCTGTCTTAAAATAAAAAATAGAAAGAACTAAGAATGTAGCTCAGTGATAGACCCCTCTAGGTTCAATGCCAGGTACTGTGGGGAAAAATCAGAAACTGCTGGGCTGGGGATGTGGCTCAAGTGGTAGGGCGTGTGGCCCGGGTTTGATTCTCAGCACCACATACAAACAAAGATGTTGTGTCTGCCAAAAACTGAAAAATAAATATTAAAAAAAATTCTCTCTCTCTCGTTCTCACTCTCTCTTTAAAAGAAAAAAAGAAACTGTTGTATATTTGGCAGAAGTGGAAATTCCCTTCTCTTCAAGAACTGATAAGAATAATGAAATGCCTCTGATAGCATAATCAAAAAATTGATTGTAGTCAGCCTTGAAGGTTATTGAGAAGGTAATGAAAAAAGATATTGTTTTTCTGCCAGGTATCTTTTTTTTTTTTTTTTTTTTTTTGGTACTAGGGATTGAACCCAGGGGCATGCGACCACCGAGCCACATCTCTAACTCTATTTTGTATTTAATTCAGAGACAGGGTCTCGTTGAGTTTCTTACTGCCTTGCTTTTGCTGAGGCTGGCTTTGAACTCACCATCCTCCTGCCTCAGCCTCCTGAGCCACTGGGATCTGCCAGGTATTCTTGGATCTGGAAAAACAGTGGAGTTTTCATAAGGATTTTGTATTATGTAATATTTTGTATTGGGCTGGGGATGTGGCTCAAGCAGTAGCGCGCTCGCCTGGCATGCGTACGGCCCAGGTTCGATCCTCAGCACCACATACAAACAAAGATGTTGTGTCCGCTGAAAACTAAAAAATATATATATATATATAAAAAAATATTTTGTATTATTGCTAAGTTACTAAAAACTTACTAGCTAAAACATATTTGTTGTTGGACAGTTTCTGTGGGTCAGGAGCCCAGGCATGGCTTAGCTGGGTCTACTGCAGGGCTGCATTGTAGGTATCAGCCAGGGATGGGGGTCTCATCTGAGACTTGGGTGAGAAAACATTCTCTCCTAAGCCACATGATTATTGGCACAATTAATTTCCTTGTAGGCTTTCAAGTTCGAAGATTGGGGTTTCTCCCAGGTTCTTGGCTGGAAGCTGCCCTCAGGTCCTTTTCATGTGGTCTTCTCCACAGGCAGCATACAATAGGCGGCTTGCTGTTTTCAGAACCAGCAGGAAAGTCTCCCTAGCAAGACTGACATTACAGTTTTCTGTAACATGACCACATAAATCATGTCACCTTGCTATGTCCTTTGTTAAAAAACTAGTTAATAAGTCCCATTCATACTCAAGGGCTGGGACTTACACAAGGGCAAGAACACTAAGAGGCAGGGGTTGTGAAGCCACCTGAGGTCTTTCTATCCCACATCCCCACCTGTTTTCTTCTTAGAAGAATCTGAATTAAAGTTGGATTGCTGGTGGATTATTGGTGAGTGATGCTGGACCTAGATTTCATTGATTTCTGGATTCCTGTCACATGTTGAGCTGTTATATTCTATTTCTTATAAGATACATATTATAAATCAATATTTTATTTCCATGAGTCCATTTCATACCACATAAATATCAAAATTGAACTCAGAAATTAATGAAAGTAAACTACAAATTTTACTATTATAAATACTTCTTTAAATAAAAACCAAACAGCATTAAGCCTGTGGTACATGTCACTTTGAAGTCTAATTTTCTAATCTGTTTGACTGACTGAGGTGTCTCAAGACCCACACTGGACTATTATATCGTCTTGAAGCAAGCATAGATTGTTTAAGATTTTCACCATAAAAAAATATTAGACACACAGAAACTTAAAGTACAGCTTAATGAATTAATAAGAACATCCGCGTAACTACTACTTATATTGCCAAAACCTCAGAATCTATTAAAACCCTATTCTTGCTAAAAGGTAATCATTATCCTGACTTTTATGGCAACCACTTCCTAATCTCGGGCATTTTATATTGTCCCAAAGATCATTTTGGCAGAGATTACTTATCCTCTGCATTGGAATTCTGTTCTTCCTTTCTGAGGCACACAGCTGCCCCTCCATAGCATTCTGGTTGCTGCTAAGTGTAACCAAGTGACTAGGGGCTTGGCAGCAGGGTATGAGCGTAGGAGCTCAAGTAGTGTGTGCCATTTCCAGGATTGACCTAAAGATAATACAGTCCTAGAGAATTATGGAATTATGTAGTGATATCACCAGTTATTGGTGACACATTCTGCTCCCTCACACGGTGAAGATAACATTAGAGAAGGATGCCAAGGCAAGCATATAAAGCAGGGTTTATTTAATATATATTTTTTAGTTGTACATGGACACGATACCTTTATTTTATTTATTTGTTTATTTATTTTTTATGTGGTGCCAGTGATCAAACTCCGCCTCACGCATGCTAGGCAAGTGCTCTACAACAGCCACAACCCCAGCCCCAAGCAGGGTTTATTTAAAAAGGGGTAAATAGACTTCTCCCATGAGGGAGAAGGGGGCCATAGCTGGTATCCTGGTATCCCAAGAAGTGAGAGTGTTCTGCCTTCTTTTATATGTCTTAGGCTTCCTTTGTTCTCCTGTTCTCTTCCCCTTATTTCTCTCCTTCCTGCCTACTAGGCCCGGAAATGCTCAGAAGGATGGCCAAAAGGTGAGAAGCAGATGGGGGATGGTGTTGGGTGGGGGGAGTCCAAATGGCGCAGCCCAGGACACATTAATTAACAACTTTTATAACTCTCTATAGGGAGGGACAATTCCTGGGACAGGTTACCTTAGCAACCAGTTGGAGCAGGGGCAGGTTATCTTTATAAGGGTGGAGGAATGGCTCTGAAGGCATTTTAGTCCTTCAGGGGGAGGTTTCCAACTTCCTGGACTCACTCAAATTGGACTCCTTGATCTGATCTGACCTGATTTACGTATCTATACTTGACTGCCTCTTTTAATTCTGGCTTCAGAAGGACTCAGGCCTCTATTTCATGAAATAGCTACACTAATAACTGAGAACTTTCACCTCAGAATGTGAAAAAGAGAGAGAGACTTATTTTTATTCTTTAAACCACTGAATTGTTGGATCCTGTGTGATTGTAACTTAGCCTTTTATCTTAATTCATATACTTTTGCCTATATTCAGAATTGGGTTTATGCAAACATTACAAATTAATAAAAAATTCAAGACCCATAAGTATTTTTTAAAAATTGTTTTAGTTGTTGATTGACCTTTATTTATTTACTTATAGTGGTGCTGAGAATCGAACCTGGGGCCTCACACATGTTGGCAAGCACTCTACCAACTGAGCCAAAACTTTAGCTCAGTATTTGTTAAATCCAATTCATTAAACAAAACTTGTCTTTAGTCCTACCACCCAGTGGAAATATTTTGCAATTTCAGGGATGGAAATGAAACTCAAAGATCTATTGTGATTATTATATTCATTCTAATTGGGAATATATGGATGAACATTTTGTATTATTTTTGCATCTGTCAAATGATTATAAAATTCTCACATCCAGGGCTGGGTTGTGGCTCAGCAATAGAGCGTTTGCCTGCATGTGCGAGGCCCTGGGTTCGATCCTCAGCACCACATACACATAAATAAATAAACAATAAAACAAATAGATAAATAAAGGTATTGTGTTCAACTACAATTA